GCCGACCTTATAAAGTGGGTCAACAATTTTGCCGGTAATGTGTGTACGTGTCGCATCGGTTTACGATAAGCTTGGTTGTTTGTAACGAGCACCTTTTAAGGATATCGCGCGAGCTTTTCCTTTTTAGAGAGAAGATCTCCGTTTGAAATGCACTTTATTAACATGGAAACGTTGCGATTGCTGGCATCCTTGAAGAATCAAAGTCAAATGGAGATCACACGTATTATAAATTACAAATAATTTAATGTTAGCATATTTTCTTTGATCGCAATTTATTGTAAACCGTTTCGAATTATTAAGCCGCTTAATTATCAAGCATCTTGCAAGATTATGATCGGTCTAGTCAATAAAACGATTTGACTCATCGCGACATACTCGAGCAATTCGTTCAATCTGATCTATGCTTCAACAACTGCTGGACAACAGCAGGCCTCTGACCTAATTCTTGCGACCGTGAACGTGTGAATATCACAATTATACATGAGCAATGTTATCACAGAGGCACGTGGCGAAAATGCATATAATTCTTTAATTGCAAGCAATTTATATTCTTAACCCACTTAATGGCATATTTAGAAAATGCGAAGTTTATGCGTATTAGTTTTCATAAAAGCTGTGGCAGCTTGTAATATAATTTATCTAGTTAATCGTCTCTAAAGAACTAAATTATGATTTGCGTCGGTAGTTATCAATGACGAGCGTAACATGAAATTTAGAAAAATCAAAACTACTGGTTCACGGACTTTAATAATGTATACGTAAGCGTTTAAATCATCTGTATACAACAATCAAATAAGAATTATCGTGATAAATCAACCGATCTTGTTCCCATTTCAGAACGAAAAAACTCTAATCTACGCAATCGCGCGATGCAAGGTATAATCTTGATAAATACTTTTGCAAATCTCGTTAACCAGCCTGCTGTCGGCTGCTCACAGCTGCATGACTTCACATCGTGTAATTTTTCGTACGTGAGCAATTGATTATATTTTCAATTCACGAAAGCCATACGTCTTTCATAAATGCAGTCAATTAGGTTTGCTGTAAATTTTCAACGATGAATAAAATTGTTTTCCAAAAAATCGAGACAACGGATCTTTTTTCATACTTGTGTAAATTTTAATCAGTTTTTTAATATTGATAATCTTGCACGATTGAACACAAATTTTAGGTTTTCGTTAGGTTTAGGACGTATCTAAGTTTCGTGACAATGCAGTTTTGTAGTGCGACCTTGCAGATCCTTCACCATATGATCCTCAAATTCTAAGAAGACCTTCCACCACGTCCTTTGTCCTTTAGGGGCCTGCTTATTTAGGGAATTCAGAACTCAAGATTGTATGCCAAGGGAGCATTTATATGGTCACACCTTGTCTCTGTTTCTTTTTCTTGGCATAAAGGACATTTTTTTCTCTCTTTTTCTATCTCTCTTTTGGAATTCGGTAATCGTTGTTCCTGATTACATTGTTGAGTTTAATTATGTTTACAACGTTTTCTACGAGATAAAAACTTATCACACAGATTAGATCACCGGCATTAAAAACGGAATCCTTGTTAACGTTTCTAAAGTCCTATTTGAATTCTCTTTTTTCTACTTAGTATGCAGTCGCGAACATACAACTTTCTCCAAAAGTGAAGTTCAATGAAAGTTTTTTCCATGAAATTCCTCCGATACATCGTAATAAGCCAAACAACATTTGCAAATTAAAAAGAAAGAAATTATGGAAAGAAATGTGTAATAATATATAAAATAGTATATAATATTAATAATATGAAATTATTTAAAAAAATTTACTTTTTTAAATTCATTAATACTGTCTGTAAATTTGATTTATTATAGCATGTATGCTATAATAAAATACTTACAATTCTGATTACTGATTATTCTTACAAGCTTCAACCTTGATATTGATAAGATAGACAGTTATCTGATGATATCACATATATACATACAGAGAATTGTCAATGTGCGAATCTAGAATTCGAATTTTGCTTTTCTAGCCTTCATCAAGCCCATACTTTATTACCTTTATATCTTTTATTGTAACGTTAAAACAATTTTGTGATAAGAGGAAGATTATTGTATTTAAATATTCTGTTCTTTTATCAAGAAATAATTTATCAAGAAGTCGCTTAAAGCTTATAGGCACATATCTTATTAATATGTAATCTACAATATCACCTCTCAAGAGTAAACAATGCTATAAAATCTTTTTAGCGATGATGAAATATTTAATTACGTAAAGTTAGGCGATGTTTTCAACGCAAGATGGGCACGTTATCGTCATACTTTGTACCGTGTTCCGTGCGGGAAAAAGTACGCGATCCAAAGTGTCACACGCCTTTCGCGCATATACTAAAAGCCCTCGCTTGTCACTCTCTTTTCACGTTAATGAAATTATCGTGCGCTTACTTAATGCCTAAATATAGAAGCGATCGCGTTCCACATTGTGGTATCGCACGTCGAGCGCTCTTTAAAAGAAAGCGCTCCGATAATCGTCGAGGAATGTGCGGGACGCATACAAAAGTAAACTACCGCATGCAGACTTTAACCGAGTTGTACATATAATGGTCCTTTTTTTTACGAAATTAAAGCCAATTAAAATTAAAATTGTATAGAGCAAGTCTTACTTTAATATAATTAATGCAGACTTGTGCCAATAAATATTTAACTCAGAAGAAAGAATATCAAAATAATATAATATTCATATAGAATATCTATATTTTTTAAGCAATATAAAGCATGAAAAATCTAACAGAAAGTATTCTAAGTTGATAGAATACAATTGAGATTTAAATTTGTTAGACGTATTAGATATTTTCCATGTTTTGCAGCGTTTATATTTGTACTCTTCGATTCGAGAAGCTGTCAGTAAAACTGTTGAAATCGTTAAATGATTTAACATGTACGTATAAGGAAATCTCGAATGAGCAAGTTGAATGCCGATTAATTCTCTGGCAGTCTGGGTGAAAGTAAACGAGGATACCCTGCACAAGATTTGTGTCACGGCATTGTTCACGGCATTTGCCGACTCCGTGATCTGTTTACGACGTTCGATGCACCGCAATAAAATCTCGCAGTTACATGACTGTAAAACAATAAATTACAAGATAGATATGAACACTAATATTCTCTCTGTAAAAAAATTCCAAATAAATTTAAATAAAAACAATAAAAACACGCAATGCGGAATATGAAATTTATAAATCTATTGCTAATTACATACTGAGAAAAACGTTACTTAGATTTAGCAATTTTATTTGTTTGATTTAAATTTATTTAATTTAAATACATAATTTTATATTAAATATCATTTTGTTGAATTAAGAATTTTGTTGTTTCGTTAGAATATATCATGTTATTTAATTGAAAAAAATGTTATTATTTAAAGGAAATAAAATTTATCTTTGAATTAAATAATACTTTGTCTAGATTAAATATTGTTTCGATGAAAGAAAGAAATTCTTTAATATTATTAAAGCATATAATAAAAAGCATTATTTTTTTAAACAATTTATTAAACAAATATTTCATTTAAAATAAAGATATTTGAAAAATTAGACAATCGGATTTGTTGAATCAATAATTGATTAATTTCGACTATTTCAAAAAATAAACTTCTTTGAATAAAATAAAATTTATTAAATCTGAAAAGAAATCGTTCTCTCTGTGCAATTTCAATAATTCGACAATTGATTTTCATTAGAGAAAAATGAGATGTATCTTTTTGCACATGCAGATACATCGGTATGTTACGTTACCCGTTCATTTGTGCTCTTTATATGGATGATAGTGTTTTCAAAGGAAACATGCCGCAGAAATAGTTTCGGGCTGGCATCGAATCGCTTCACAGTGACGCACCGAAAATCTGAAACTTCATCCGCTATAAAAACACTTACGCGTGGATACCAGTCGCCAGGGAGGCTGGACAGTATATTATTATAATTAAACGTGCATGAAACGTGCGCCCACCATAATGCAGCTTACAAGATATTCTGCATATTACTTCGAATTTGTTGAATTTGTTATACTATTAATTCAGTTTCCACTTCATCATGGTATTGTTAAAGCAGCCAATAAGTTGTAGATTATAAATTGTATTTGAATACTGTCTAGAAGAATGAAGTTTTGCAGATAATTAATTTTTATTTAATTGGGAATGAATAAAAAGTTTTGTAAATAAAATTTGAATTGGAATATTGAAAATAACGAGAAGAACAAACTTTTTTCTAAATACGAATCGACTGAAAACTTGAAAGAAAACACGTCATGGTTGAACAGCCTCTATGTGTCTGGGTCCCTCGAAGTCACGATCCGAGGCACCGTATATCTAACGGAATATGCATACTGCAGGAAGATGAATGTCGACGGTCCATGCTTGGAAACCTCTCCTTTTTAGGCAATCAGGCATATAAACGGATGACTATCCGCTCATGTAAGATGCCTAATTATTAAATCTTCTTTTTTTATACAAAGTATTTAACTTCTAAAATATGAAAGATATTCTCGAAGCAAATAAATTTTTAATATACAAAAATAGACTTTTTTTTAATTAAATTGTTATTGAAATTGGATTAAATGCAGTTTTTATTTATACAAAAATTATATTTTCTAATACTATAAAAAGAAAAATATTACTATAAAAAGATTATGCCTCTTTGTTTACTATTTTTTATTCTTTTCCTATTTTACTATTTTTACATACTATGCTTGCATTTGTTCAAATGTAACTTATATTTATGGGAAAAGCTGCGCGTTTTGTATCGAAATGATTAATTGATGCTGCAACGGATTAAGTGATTCCGGTAATACTCATGTCATAAGCCCTATGAATGCGTTACTTCGAAGAGATAGAACACATCACATAATTATTAACTCTCTACATAATATCGAAGTTTTAATACCGTATACTCGTCCCATGAAAAATTTGAAAGCACGATCCTCCTTCTCTATCGCGCTTTCACTTTCAAACGCATAACACACAAACGTCTTTGTGTTACAGATCAATAGCAAGTATAGCGAGGAACTCGCGCAGGAATGTCTGGAATGGATCAAAACGATTACCGGCGAAAACATAAACACCAACGGAGACATGGATAATTTCTACGAGACTCTGAGAGACGGCACCTTGCTTTGCAAGTACTTAAAGAAATAGGAAAACTGACGCGAAAAACGCCGATCGGTTTAAGGATCGTCGAAAACACGGTAAAAAACGCTCCCGTTAATTGCATTTGCTCTTCCGCTAGGCTGGTGAATGACATCAAGGCGGGCTCGGTGAAGAAAATTAATAATACGTCGCTGGCCTTCAAATGTATGGAGAATATAAACGCCTTCCTGGAAGCCGCGAAGTCATTAGGTGTTCCGCCGCAAGAGACCTTCCAGACCGTAGACCTCTGGGAAAGACAGAATCTAAATTCCGTTGTTATTTGCTTACAATCTCTCGGAAGGAAGGTATGGTTTCATTTTGTAAACGCGGATATACTCACACGGAAACATACAGCCACTCTTGTCCTAATCTTGTTCTTTTTCTGGAGCTGTTAAACATCGAACATCTTTGTGTTATGAAACAAAAACTTTATTATGAATTAAGTTCAATAATTATTAATATATAGAATATTATATGTTAAATTATTAATATATAGAAATTATAATATTAATAGAAATTAATATTAATAATATTTCTATTCATTAGTAGTCAGTTTTATTTAACTTGCATTTAAAATCTGGTTCTATTTATATTTAATCAATATCAATATTTATATTTAATTAATATTTATATTTAATCGATATCAAATATCGAAGAATTTATGAGAATAATGTATGTACGATCAAATTCTTATTAAAAAAAATCAATATGAATATACACATATTTAGGAAATAATGTTTCTATAAAAAAGTAACAATCAAAGAATATTATTTAAGAAAGTAAATATGAATCTTTTTAATATGAATCTTTTTACATTACATATTTTAATTAGATTCGATCATAGAAATATTAAATTATGCTCGTAACACAGAAAATTAAATTTCCTGATATATATATTCATTATCTCTCATTGTTTTATTTTCGCATTCCTACAAATAGATATGTTATCAGTGTTTACATATTGATTTCTATTATGTATCTTAACTTTGAAACGTATCTTGCCTCATAATTTAATCAAAATATCCAAATATTTTGATAACTTACGTCAATATTTTTATAGGCGGGCAATTATGGCAAACCGAGTATTGGACCCAAAGAAGCGGATAAGAATGTACGCAATTTCACAGAGGAACAGTTGAGGGCCGGACAGGGCGTGATAAGTCTACAATATGGTAGCAATAAAGGCGCTAATCAAAGCGGTATTAACTTCGGAAACACTAGACATATGTAAACCGCCTTGCATTCTCACTGAGAGGCAAAACTGCTCTGTTCTCACCTATCCTGACTTTGTTTCCGCAACAAGTACTCCTTTAGATATAGCATATCGCATAATAGATGTTAATGAGGTCCAAAATAAAATATATTGAACGGTGCGTAAGATATCTTCATCACAACAGAAGAAATAAGAAGATACAAGTTCACCAAATAAAAATAAGACACAAGATTCAAGAAAAAAGGGGGCTTAAATCTTTGGACGGATAACGGGGATTTTTATACATTTGCTCTCTTTTTTTACTGTAATCCTAATATTGTTAATTACATTTTTCTTTAATTTTTCACTTTCAAGAAATTTTTCTTTAATTTATTAAAGTTATCTTAAAAATAATTGTCAGAAATAATAAATTCGTTATATTGATTTTCTATTATGTTTTTGCAATTTTCGTTAGGACACACATCCAAGGATTAAACAAATCAAACATAGGTATCATATAAAATATCTAATTCAATTTTTCTTACATCACTTTTACTTTGAATCTATTGGCATATGATGTCATACTTATGCAAGTATATTAAAGTGAGAAATATTTTATATCCTATTTCTTGATTATATGACAATTCAATGCGAATCTTTTTTACTTACGTATACATACGCTATCACACATAAAGCTATATTTCACAATTTATAATGCGACTGTGTAGCTCTCAGGATAGAAAGATGCATAAACATTCTTACACAATACAAAGAAACAAAGATATTGTATGTTAACATCTTGGACAGCCACTTATAATTGTTGAATATTATAAAGTATATTGTACAACGAAAGCAGAGTTTCCGGCTAGCTGCGTCATTATCATTGATTGAACATTTCAAATTTCAATCTAATCAAATTATTCTATAAACATTTATGTTGCACGAGAGAGATAATTATATATAATTATATATTAAGTATTTTGTACAAATATATATTGATGGTTAGAAAAACAATTTTTCATAATTGGATGAGTTAATAAACAATGAATTGATAAGTGAGTTTTATATTGAAATATTAAAATGAAATACGTTATATTTTTAATTTTTTTCTATCTTAAATCAGATTAGGTAATCGTTTTTTCGAGATATTTAATGTGCAAAACTTTTCTAAAATATTTTATTTCAAATTCTATATAATGTGATATACTACAATAAAAGAAATACAACATCTATATCTAGTTATTTATTAAAAGGATAATAATCTAATCCATTATTATATTTAAATTCATGTTTTTTACGATGCTGCTTCTGCGCTATTTCCATAAGTTTTTGGACACTAGGCCTATATAAATAAACAATAAAGTATTGTAAATTTTTTTTTAAATTATGTAAAACAGGATCGTAAATCATACCTATAAGGTGGTGGTAACATCTCTTCATGGAACGTACATGTCTTTTTAAATGGTATATATTTTTTATATATTTTTGATCTAACAATATCAATGTCTCTATTGCACTTATCTATAATCTTTTCTACTTCTGTTGGTGGTACATCGAAATATAAGAAAAAATGGCTGAAAATATCAGGTATATATATTTCACTCAAAAAAATCGTTTGTTCATTCATTAGCTTGTTGCAATTTAAGATAGAACTTAATAAAAATTCAATTAATATTATTAATATTACAAATATATTACTTTGCTTCATGATGAACATATCCATGTGCATCAGTTTTGCATGGAAGTGATATCACTCCACAGTTTTCAATTTTTCTGATAAAACCACCAGTATTAAATATTGTTTCGGCTGTTCTCTTTAAAGTTGCTATCAATTCCGGCTATAAACATGAAGTATCAAATTCTTCTTGATTATTTTATAAGAGATAAAAATCATATAAAATTTATATAAAAATAACAACTTATATTAAGCATAAATGATTATCGTAACGCTTTATCATATTTTTACTGTAAAATAAAACATAACCTATGTTATAGCACGATACCTTTTTCATGATTCGTATCAACAATGGCATTTCATATGTAGGCATATTTGTAGTTTTTTGTCACTTCAAATAACAGATTTCCAGAAAATTTTAATAACAATATAACGTAACTTTTTTTAATAAATCAAATCTTTCTACCGAAAATCATAGACTATATCAGAAAGGAACCTGAGAGCGGCCACTCTTGACATCGTAGAAATTGCCGTACACTACCGCCACCCCGGGGTGGCTGCTCTCAGATTCCTCTCTGGCTACGGTTATAGATTTATTTTCTCAGTGCACTAAACTGCACTAAAACTTTCTATCTCGCTTTATTCAAACTGTAAACATACATATCTATTTCATATATCTATTTCATTTTAAATACAACGAGTGTATTTAGCTACAGCTACACACACACAATGTCTAATAGGGTGTAGGCAAGAGAACTACACAACTGCGCTTCATTCTGCCGTTGACTGCTATGGTGGTGAGAATGTTAACATATGACATGTTTGAAACGAATAACACATATTAAAAAATTTAAATAGTTACAACTGCAGACATCTTACGTAGAGAGGTATTGTAAATTATATCTTAATGTATAATATTTTTTATCGATAATGTTATTATTTTTGTAGGTTTTAAATAATTTTAATTATTTTTTTATTTTTACCATTAGAGAAAATATTTTAATTTGTTCGTTAATGGTAATCTAGGTGTATTCAATTTTTCGTATCTATTAATAATTTTCAAGAAAAAATATATCTTAATTTTTCTGAAAAGTTAATTATAATTTTATTATAATGGCTCACACTAATGTACTGCATGTTACAATTTATGAGAACAGAAATCTAGAAATTTCTGATTTTTATTTCTCTCTTTCTTTAGTTCTCGTAAATAATGTTCAAATTTATAATAAACCTTTACCTTTGCCTTATAATTAATTTAATGTCTAAAATTTTTTCCTACACATAACTTCCAAATCAGCTGTAAACATTAGTCCAAATGAATTATGTTCTATTAAGTAATTTTATTAAGTAATTTTAATGCTATCTCTCTCTCTCTCTCTCTTGTTCTTTTGAGAAACCATGCCATTACTTTTATTAGAACGTGTCATTATATCATAGTTTATTATTCAAATAAAAATTCCACCTATCTCATGCAAGTAAAAATTCATTGCCAGTTCTTGACAAATAACTCATGGGCACTCATTTTCGAATTTTTGTGTGAGGTGGAAGTGCCCTTGGTTAAGTTTTGTGTGTGTCATCGTGCATTTTTGCTTTTGTCTCCCAGTTTTCGACATGCTTTGCATTTATTTTTTTTTGGTTTTATATTCTAATTTTATTCATTTGGACGCATGACCATATTGTTCCCATTGTTTCACATAGGGAACGAATGCCAATAAAAATAATAAAATGAAGGGAATAGTAGAAGATATGCTTTGATTCAACATATTAAGTATACTTATCAGTTATATGCTTATCAGTATATCACCTAAATAAAACTGTAGAATATAGAAAACAATCTGTAATTTTTATTCTTTAAATATTATATTACATCTTACATAGTAGCTGTTTAAAGTTATTTTTATTGTTTCAGACATTTAATAGATATAGCGTGAAAATGGCAACAGAATTAAATAACAAAAACAATTGTAAAAATGATGATGAGAATAAAAGTGATTACGATAAAAATGATTATGACGAAAATGGTTATAATGAAAATGATTGTAACTGTGATGAAAATGATTATAATGAAAGTTGTGATGAAAATAATGATAAAAGCAACTGTAGTACAAGAGAAGCTATTCGTAGAACATTTTATAAAAATCGAATAAAATGGGATAATATTAAATTAGAACTTGATGATAACACACCACAAGAAAAAAGACGTAAACTGTTGTTAGAATATCAAAAAAAGTATGTATATGTCAAATATCTTATAAAATTATGTTATCAAATTTATATCGTATATGAAAGAAATTTATATGATTTTTAAAATCATTTTTAGATATAGAGATGAAGCAATTAATGCTACACGTGGCATATTGCAAGAAATACAGTCTTATGATTTGGCAGAAAATGAAATAGAAGAGATCGAGATGAATGAGATGGTAGAGGAACTTCCTTCACAGCTTCCAAAAGAATCCAGAATTAATCAAATGATGTTATCAGAATGGATGTTAGAAATACCGCAAGACTTAACTGAAAACTGGATTATGGTCCCATGTCCAGTAGGCCATCGCACTAGATTAGTCTCACGCATGGTATTAATTCAATTTTGCTAATATTATATTTATAAGAAATGATTATAAATGTAGAACAATAATTATCTTAATTTTATTAGGGTGTCACAATGGCATATTCTAGAAAAGGCGTTTTATGTAGCGTCTTTCCTTCAGCACTTCCAGGTGGAAATCCTGACACTGCCTTACGTCATTCTGCTATCGTAGATTGTATATGGATAAAGAGTCGAAAACTTTTTTATATATTAGACGTACTCTATTGGAGTCAATTGCCATTCATGAGTTGCGAGGTAATTTTTATATATATATATATATATATAAATGCACAGTTGTTATATCAATTTGAGTTGATAAAATGATCGATATAAATCCCTACACAAACATATATCATTTTAGGCTGAATTCAGGTTTTTCTGGATTCATAACAAGTTTCAAGAAATACCAGAATTCAAGGAACGCAACACTGATACAAATAGATATCCCATTTTATCTTTACCAAATATTTATTGTAACTTAGATTTGAGTTTAGCTTTGACAAATCTTGATAATGAATTATATCCTTTGGATGGATTTTTATTTTATCATCGTAAAGCATTGTATAGTTTCGGAAATACTCCACTTGTGACATGGTTAAAACCTTTCATGTTATCTGAAGCACTTGGAATATCTGTATCTCCCTCGTTTAACAAGAAACCAGATGATTACATAAATTTTGAAGATCATATACAAAAAATAAACAAGAAAAATAATAAAAAAAAATAGATAATGATTCTGTAAGTTTTTTGTATTATTATATCATCAAATTATTATTATATTATATCATCAAATTTTTGCATGTGTTTATTTCTCATTTAATTAATATATTCTCTTTAATTTTACAGATGGAAATAGAAAATATTGTTTAATATAAGGACATTTATAACCATGATCTCAATCTAGGAATAATTAAATAAAAATAATACATATACATATTTTTATAAAAACTGATAAAATCTTTCTTTTATGTTAATAAATGATACATAAAATGTGAACAAACAATGCAACAATCATGATTGTATGTAAACTGTATATTATTCACAAAACATTAAAACAAGAAGAGTTTATATATCAAAGCATACTGTATGAAATATATCAAAAGCTCTCTCACTTAAATACATCAATATGTTATCCATAATTTCTATATTCATCACTTTCATCTAAAAGTAAAAAAAGAACAAATTATAGATTATATAAACATGTATAAAATGTACTTCAACAAGATTTCAATGTAATGAAAGAAAAAATAACCATATAAAAACTCACTCTGTTCTCCATTATTGTTATTCCAGGCAGATTAATCTTATGCAGTGTACATAATCCCAAATGCAAACCTCCCAATACTAACATTTGTTTATGTAAAACTTCATGAAACATTTCTATGTGTTCACGATTGAGAGATATATTAATTTTGTCATTGTCATCTTTGATAATGCTACAAATTTATGAATAGCATAAAATGTATATATAAATACTATTATAAATAATATTAGATATTCTAATAATTACACATACACTGTTAATATTTTTCTCAGATCTGAAGTTGGAAATTTAATTGTAATGGTATCTGTAACTGGTAATTCTGGTACTGTATATTCCATCTTAACTTCACCAGAAACTATTGGTTGGTCCTCTTCGTTATTAGCCACAATTATAATTGGAACCAGCCAATTTAAGTCATATTCCTTGGCTGGCAATGCCATTATCACACAATCAAACATACAACCGATAATAGAATGTACTGCATCCATGCAACTTCGAGTGCCACGACATAATAGAAGAGGCAATCTTATAGAATTTTGTATATTTTGTCCAGTTCGTGTTACTTTCCAAGATAATAATATCCCTTTGTAAATAGTTTTCTCTACGTTTTTCTCATGACTATTGGTTTTAGCTACAACTTCAATCTATAAAATGGATTTAAAATAAAAAAAATTGATATTTTATAATCTTTCTACTAAAATATATATTTAAGATAATTAAAATATCAAAAATTATAATAATTTTTTTTATTAGACCTTGATTGCTGGATGATTTTCATAGTTTGATCCAGATGCGATATCTTCTATGATAGAAAATTTTGTTTCATAAGTCACATCTTCACGTGATAAGGTACTTGCAATTTCTTCTCTTAATTTCTTTGAATATAGTTTCAAGTGAATATCATCCTGTTGGAAGCCAAACAGAGCAGACGCTGCATAAATGTTCCATGTCTGGCCTATTAACTCTATAAAGTTAATTTATAACATTAGAAAAATTAATATGTATAACATCAAAAACATTTTGGAAATTATCGGAAAGATGAAGAGATGTGTGGTATATCTTAGTGTAAGTATGCTATGTACCTATGATTTTCCTCTTTTAAATATGAGGAAGCACATTATACCTTCCAGTCCATCGATTTCATCCTCTTCTAGCCTAGGTCGACTTACGTCAAACCGTTGTCGTTCTTGCATTCGCGAGGTGCGCGGGGTGTACATGTTACTAGTACCTGGTCTACTATATTCCGTCTGATTCATCTTACGGAAAAGTAAGAGCTCGCCGATGAACGTCGAACATTCGAAAATAACATGAAATCGCGTTACTTGTCACGAGTGCAACGTACGAATCATACGAATGCGATTTTAAAATAGTCAGAAACCTCATCGAATTCAAACGCGCTGTACACATATACACGTATGATCAGTTATCGCGTTAAGGTGCCTTTTCATATTAACGTTCGACGCTCACTTTTAGCGTCAAACTAGGTCACGTGATCAGAATTGACACTGGGCGTTCAAAAATAACGTCCGAGTGCATTTATTTTATCCTTGTTTAACATTTGATGAGCAACAAGGATAAAACGATACATCCGATGTTTCTGACTTTAGACCCCCTTTCCCCCCCCCCCTATTCTATAATTCTTGCCGTATTGTTATCGTTATATTATCGTTGCATAGTTTTTTTATTGTATATTATATATGTGCAATGATAATGATACTGTCATTAAAAGTCATGGAATAGTCATTTACTAGCCCAGAATAATAAAATAATAAAATTTGTAATAAAATGTGTAATTATTAGAATGATCACTTTTGATTACGTGATTTATTTCGATGCTAAAAGATGTTAAGCATCAACATAAAAAGGCATTTTTTATGTTTTCATAAGTTATCTTTTCACTCGCTTGAATAATAAAAACATATGTAAATCTGGGCCCTTCTAAAACATTCTGGGCTTTATAGCACATAACATGACGATGTTAACCAGCTTGTTGTATCTTGTCAAAATACACTCTGCGATCGATCCATTCATTTCTTAAAGCTCCTGATTAGTTGCCATGGATATTGGAATCGTGACATCACAAGCGAAAAATGACAGTGAAATTTATTATTCGTAATTTGCATATAGATATTTGAATAAAACGACTTGAGGTAACTTTAAAACACTTGTGAAAATGGATGGCTACCATTCTTTTTCTTCCTGATCAATCAATGCATCCAGAAGCGCAATCGTACAATAAACGCTCAGTAGCCGCTAACTACGCTCTTTAAATTTATACACTGGCGAGCGCCGTTAAGCCGCTCACAGTGAGCGGTCGCCAGTGTTTGAGAGCATAATTTTATGTCGCTCACCATCGCTCACTATCAGCCTGGAATTCAAATTGTATTCATTCCCGTGTAAGTTAATCTCACTAACCTTTTTACATGATTTTATATAAAATAATAGATTGTTATATTTTACATATTTACATACTTATTAATAATAATGTGAGCCTATATCCAGTACGTGAAAGATCGCTTTTTGAGCGCTCACGAATAATCGCTAACCTAACCCTAACCACACAGTGAGCAGTTACGCTTCTGGATGCACTCAATAAATAGCTATAAAAAGCACGTGAAACGCAACCTGAGACAGAAAAACTGTGGTTTGACAGCTAATACTGCAATTCTTGCTGCAATACTGTCAACGCGGAATTCTTAGCTGTCAGGAGCAATCAGGAGCTTTAAAGCTCGGCTCTCTCGCTGCAATCATATCGAATTATGACGTCGAGGCGAGAAAGGACATGTAAAAAGTTTCTTTTGTCGTCGACGCAAGAAATTTTTTACGTCATTTCTCGCCTCTGACGTAACACAATCCATATCGCGCCGTGAGAGAACCGAGCCTTAATGTAATTACACAATACATGTGTATCAATCGTCAAAACAGATCTTCGCCAATCACATTGGTTCACGCGTTTCTTTCCTTTCTTTTCTTTTTACGCGCGCATGCATATATATAATTACATGTATATAAGTATAAATTTATATTTATAAATATAAATTTTATTTTGATATTGTATATGCGGACATTTAAAATATAATATTTTGTAATAAATAATAAAAATTAAAAAGTAAGGAAAATAATGAAATAATATTAAGTATATAAATAATACATTAAATAATTAATATTAATAAATAATAATGAGTCTCACCTGGCGCCCAGGCACATTCTTGTTATGCGTTCCGAAAACTATCAAAAAAAAATGTTGCACAACTTTTTTTTATCGGATTACACAGTGAGCGCGTTCGCGTCTTTCGATCGATGTGACGTGGGTCGTGTTTACGTCCGCATTGTTTTTATCTCCCGCGCAAAAACGCAATACAGTTCTCCTGAGGGAGGTTAAGAGCGGCAGTATCCCGTCCTCGAGCTTCGTCCATTTGCGTTTATCATTGACGCTCCGAATGATCGCAAGTGTGCGATTATGGCAGCGATAGAGGTCACATTCCCATCGGACGGTCCACCCGGAAAAATTCTCAAATGGAGAGTACGCTCGGACACGATGGTCGCGGCGGGCAGAATATTGTTATTGTATCAAAACGCGACGCTGGCTGTCAACGACGACGTCAAAGAATCGGAGAGGAAGCTACGAGCTACGAACTTTGGTCGCGTCAAGCGACTTCTCGTCAAGGAGGGTGATGTCGTCCAGCCTGGGTATGCAGCCTTTCCATAATTTTTATTTAGAATAATTAAATAAGGATTTTATATAACAGTTATATCGCACGACAGAGAACATTTTTGAAATAGTTTTGTCTTGTGACTTATGTAAAAATGTATTTAAATTCTGTGATATCTGCATAGTCTATTAGTGTTCCAGGCAAGTGATAGCTCTGTTGGAAGGATGTACACATCCCACTGTGATGATAGATCTGTGTGCAGAATGTGGTGCTGACTTAAGGGTACAAGAAACCAGTAAAGATGGAAATGCAGTTGGAATATCACAAGCCAGTGTACCTATGGTACACAGCATACCAGAACTGAAAGTATGTCCGGAATTGGCAGAAAAAATTGGAAAGGAGGACGAACAACGTCTTTTAATGGATCGGAAACTAGTATTGCTTGTGGATCTCGATCAAACGATAGTTCATACCACAAATGACAATATTCCACCTAATTTAAAAGTATGTGAATATTACATTGATGTAAATCTCTTTTGTAAAACTAATCTCTTTTGTAAAAACTATCAGTATAGGATTTATGAGTATTGCAAAATAATCAAGTATATATTTTTTTCAAAGGATGTTTTTCATTTTCAATTATATGGACCAAACTCTCCTTGGTATCATACCAGATTAAGACCAAACACTCGGCATTTTCTCTCGGAAATGAGTCGATTGTATGAATTACATATTTGCACTTTTGGAGCAAGGATTTATGCACATACTGTAGCATCGTTGTTAGATAAAGATGGAGTCCTGTTTTCCCATAGAATACTTTCTAGAGACGAATGTTTTGATCCAGCATCCAAAACCGCAAATCTCAAGTAAATTTATAAGTTAGTTTAAATTTTATTAATATTAGAGATAAAGGTAAATTACATCGTTTATTTCAGAGCTTTGTTTCCATGTGGCGATGATTTAGTATGTATTATAGATGATAGAGAAGATGTATGGCAAGGATGTGGAAACCTGGTTCAGGTCAAACCCTATAATTTTTTCCGTCACACTGGCGATATTAATGCACCACCAGGTTTGGAAAAAACCGATGCATCACGTTTGCCAGAACCGACAAATTCAAATGAATCCTGTGTAGATGATGCACAGAATAAAGATAATAAGAATGATGCATCTGAATCATCAAACGAAGATAAACAATTATTAGACAATCCCTCTGTAGAAGAAATAAGTCACGAAGATAAAAAGGATGAGAAGGCTGAGAGCGAGATAAAAGATATAAAAAATGAAAAAGATGAAGATACCAAAGCAAATTCTGAAGAGAATGCAGAATCTAATATTCAATCTAATGTTACAAAAGAAGATGATAAAACAAATAAGGAAGTAGAGGAAAATATATCAACTGTAGAAACAGATAAAAATAAGCAAACAGTACCAAAACAGGAAAATAATGTAATAGATGAAGATGAAGATGATTATCTATTATATCTAGAAGATATTCTTCGGAGAATTCATACAGAATTTTATGCTATGTTGGATCAAGAGAATACTCGGAAATCTTTGCGGGATATAATCCCACGAGTGCGTTCTCAAGTACTGAAAGGATTATGCTTAACTTTTAGTGGCTTGATACCCACTCATCAAAAGCTTCACCAAAGCCGCGCATACAAAGTCGCGAGAGCATTCGGAGCGGAAGTGACTCAAGTAATGAAATTATATTTATTATTTTTATATTTTATCGTATTTTTATACATGAATAACGAATTTTGTCAGGATTTAACAGAGAAAACTACGCATTTGGTCGCTATTAGAAAAGGTACGGCGAAAGCACATGCAGCTAGAAAAGACACAAACATTAAAATCGTGAATTCAGATTGGCTATGGACCTGCGCAGAACGCTGGGAGCATGTGGATGAACGCTTGTTCCCTCTTACATCACAGGTATAAATTCTATAATTTTATTTAAATAATTACTTTTATAATAATTACTGTTTTAAATATATATGCTGTCTTAACATTAATAATAAGCGTGAAGTATCGTAGGCCCGCGGATCCAGAGTACCACCACCGCATTGCAGTAGTCCTGAACGTGTCGAAGAAGTAGAAAATGATAGTGCAAACTCTTTTGCCAATTCTATCAATCCATTAATGTCATTTACTCAAGAGGAGATCGAATTTATGGATAAAGAAGTAGATGAGGATATGGAAGAGCTAGATATGATTTTTGAAGATGAGGAAGATGCGGATGATGCGGAAGAATGCGGTACGAAGATACGTCAACATACTTCCGATTCTGAGGATTCTATGAACGGTAAAGTTTATTTTTTATAATATATGACAAAATAATTTTATCTGATTATATATTTTATATACTATGTAATACACGAAATATTTATGCGATTTATTTAGTTGTTTTAGGATTAAATTTACTCATATTACTTATTTATTACTCATTATTTATTACTCATATTTTGCACAAATTTTTATCAAAAGAATTTTTCTACTTAAAATTCTTGGTATTACGAGATAGCAAATTCAAAAGTCAAACGTACACTTTTGACAAACTATTAATATTGAATTATTCAGAATTCATATCCAATTTTTTTATAAAATCATTTAAAATATATCCTGATTTGTCAAAATCAATAACTTCCAAATATAATTTTATATATCTATAAAAGTAATATATCTATAAAAATGATTAATAATGATCAAATGATGCTTTTCTTACGTTATGTTAATATAGATGAATTGGGTGTTTCAAAAAGAAAGAAGAGAAAAGTTTACAATGGCAATTCTGAGAAAAATTCTATGGATAAAGATGACAATCGAGACAGTGATGATGATGATGATGACAATAACGATAGTGATGACGATTTTGCTACACGTTTTAGACGAGGAGAGGAATTACCCGATGATTTAGATTTAGGCGATAATTCACAGGATTCTGTAGACGACTTCGAAGAAGATAACGAAGATGACCGAGAATGGAATGCATTGGGTGCTGCGCTTGAAAGAGAGTTCCTTTCTGAATGATTTGAATAATTATATAATAATTATTGTATGATTAACTCAGGATGTTTTGCATTATTTATAAATTTCAAGTTCGATAGCTAAAGCAGGGTTATTCATAATAAACGTTATTTGCGTACTAAAAGTTTGAAAAATATTAAAATCACTAATTTATGGAAATCGAAACTTACAATGGGAAAAAAATGCTCTGTATATCGAACTATATCAAATTTTCAAATTTTGCACATATTTAAACATATGATGAATCATTAGCAAGAGATAAAAATAAATAATTGTTCTTTAGAAGAATAATTTATGAAACAGCACATTGTGAATAGCTCGCATGCCATTGAACATATTTTCATGAAAGAAAAATATGTCGAAAATCAATTTTATCTTCTGTATATATAATGCTAGAGAATGAGAAATTTATTTTCTAATATTTTTAAAGCTATCACATTAACGTTGATGATCATAATTAAGCTTTTGTAATGAAATGAATGTATCAGAAAATTTGAAAATAAAAACTTGTAGAACATACAATGTAGTACATCTGTAGCATATTTCTATTGCATATTTATAATTTATATTATTATGCTTTTGAACAATGTTCTATACGATATCTGATTGCGGATCATTAGAATCTTCATAGTATTTTATTTTTTTATGAGTAAAGTCTCGTATTCCTTCTAGTCTCCCTCTTCGTGGTGCTTTTGAGTAATCAAAGGATGAATCTCCTTTGCCATATAATTTGTTCGCTTCCTCTGTATCCTCCCTATGAGGAAACATGAAATGGAATTTATTCATATTACGTTATAAATGGCTCTACAGGTAATCTTGTCTAAATTTTTAAATCTCTACATACCTATATTTGGTAGCGATAACTTCTTTTCCTGTAACTGGGTCTACTATATCGCCTAGAGGATATATCACTTCGACGACCTACGTAGATTTTAATAAGTCATTCAATAAATTTTATTCATATTTGAGTCTGATCTTCTTCTTCATATAATATTGCAACAACAATTAAACATTGTTCTTTAAGCAAAGATAATACATACCTCATGCGTGATTAGACGCGTTAATTTCTTTGGTAACGTTTTTATCAAAATTACATCACCAGTTTTACACAGTCTGTTCGGATCATTGGCATAAACGAAATCATGCTCCTTGAAGTACTATTAACACGAAAAGATATAACCTCAATTAGAAATCCAAGCAAAAATCTAAGCAAATATAGTACGATACACCATGTATACAAACCATATGAATGTGATCATCAAATGCCAATCTCGATACTTTCACTTTAGCGGCGTTTTGTTTTGATGAAGGCACACATGTTCCCAGAAAATATCGCAATGCGGTCCTGCCCGCTGCTCTCGCGGCCATCTTTAAACATATGATATATCATATGATATATCGTACAGTATTATGAATGACTTCAATCAAATTTCGATTAACTTATCAAATAATATCTGTATTTTATTAATAGTAAAGGATTATTATTTATCTTTATGTTAATACATAGAAAGAAAAATTAATCGAGTATTTTAATTAACTAAAAACTTTGATTGACATTCTTCATTTATTATGCGGCACGTTACATCCTAGTAAACATCAAATAATAATAATATTATATCGATCAATATTATTTCCTACTCAATAATATAACTGTTATGTACATACAACATGTATTATATTATACTTATATTATTGAATGGAAAATTACAAATATTGATGTAATGACACTGTTAGCATGTTAGTTATTTTATTTATTAATATTGACTGAGATATATATGTATATATGTATATATGTATATATATATATATATAATTTTTACCTACATTTTAGATATTAATCATTATCCTCTTTTTCTCTTTGATGTGCAAAAATGTATCTTCCTTGTTTAAAATGATAATAGATGATATAAAAGAATAAAGATAAAAATAACAAAACTCTCGTTACATTAGCTAATGCATATATGCATAATGCATAATGAAGAAAGAAATATTTTAAAATAAAAAAATTAAAAACTGGAAAAGAAAAAGAAAGAAAGAGATCGAAGAATAATCCAATGTTTACGGGATTGTATTTTATCTAAAAAAGACTCAAAAAATATATCTTTATTAAAACATTATTTTTCTGAAATTTTTATTTTTCTCGTTTATCTTTTTACGTATCTTTCAATTGCATTTTTATAGTATATAATATGTGTACAATAATACAGACAAAAGTATTTATAAAAAAATCCTTTTTTGTTCTTTTATTGATATTTCTATCAAAAAGATTGATAACAAACTTTTTATTGATATTTGAAGAGAATCGCACCAGAGGAAGAGAAGAAAAGAGGAACAGTGGCGATATTGCGGTTAAAATGGTATATGTAGTATTTATAGGAATATATTGATGTATGTTAGTGCAACAAGATAGCATGTATGTTATCAAGAAAGAAAACAGCTTTCATAAAATCTGCAAAGAAATTTTATAATAAAAAATATCGATATAATTTATATTATTTTTCTTTTACAAGCTGTATGTCTTTAACAAATTTAATTTAACGTTATTGTTAAACTTATTTGCCTGGCTTTTCTCTTTTCCTTTCTCTATCACGTATAATATAGTAAATTTATCTAATTGATCGGATTATGGATGTAGCCAGCACGTACAAGCTTGTAAGTACTAAGTAGACTCACTTACCAGCTATACAGTATATCCGCGAAGCTAAGGAGTTCCGAGATAATAATTAATATCCAATTACTAACACAGCAACTTTAGTTTTCCACGACGGTGGGTTTAATTAAGCGCTTCCTTCGATTCAATAATGTAGCAGGTGTTGTGTTCACATGTGTATTTATAAAAGATACGAAATAAAATATTTGTTGGATCGTGTTTTACGAAGATAAAGCGATTTTCTTGACAAACTATCAATGTAATTGCCACTTTGTTACTCGTATCTGTATCTTGAGAACCACTACGCATCCGTGCATTATCCGCGACACATCACACGACTACGTGAACGTACTGTAAAGTTTCCTCTAGGTTTCCATCGAAGGTAAATTACATTTAACCCTTCGATTGCTGCACGTTACATGCATAAGCTACTGAAGCGAACAGATCCATACGCTGTCTGTTAGGTAGACTTGCAACGTGATGAACTAATGCGGTTAGGAAATTATGTGATTACGTAATAGAACTTGCATGTTCGCCTTTATGCTATCGCTCTTTGATTTACAATGACATTTATATAATTCTAGTTTTAATTTCAGCAGCTCTTTCAAATAATTCAGGATTTATTCAAATGGTATATGTAAAATTTAAAAAAAAAAGCCAATATTCTTCACATTTAAAAAAGTGAAGAAAATTCAATTTAATATGCAATATTACTGAAGATTTATACATTACTACATATATAATATTATAATTATTAAAAATAAATATATAATGTAAGACTATTGATACGACAATACGTAATTTAAAGAATTTAAAGAAAAACTTGAACGGCACTTTTAACGGCTAACGCTATCAAAATAATATTTTAAAGATAATATAATTTAATTTCTTTACTTTTTAACATAGGAATTCAAATTTATATTTTGCATTAAAGATAGATTAAAAGATATAATAAATTCTTTGAATTGACAAATTTGACTTTTTTGAACGCATGTATCAACTTCAAACTTGATACAAAGAAAAACAAAGTTGACATGCTTTAATGAAATTGAGAATGTCAATAATTTATCGAGATTCTAGTTTAGATGAGATATTCCCGTTCGAGTTCGATCGAGCATTTTCCTAAAATTTAGTATACGAAAGAGATGATAAAAATGAGAGATAGTAGGGAAATATATAAATATTTGCAGTTAATTGTAACTGCATAGCATAGAAAAATATATGATTAGTATGAATGTCTCGTAGAAAGAATTTGTGAACTGATGTAGAAAGAAAAATAAAAAATCGTAGAAAAAAATGAGGCAACTCAATCTTTATGCATCAAAGATCGAGTTTTCTAAAATACGTTACATTTATCTTTTATACATGGATTTCTTTTCGTTTTATGCAATACAGACACATACACACATATACAAAATATCTGTGCATCGCGAGGCCTGTTGTTAATCTGTGAAATGCAAAGGAGCAAGGGAATTCACGGTTGATCTGCGAATCAGTTGATGATCGAGCCGTCAGTCATCCAGAAAATTTCATTGTCGATGGAAAAATCGTAGCTACGGTCGCACGACTTGGTCATTACTTTCCATTATTACTCGGAACTCCCGATTCTGCGAACTTGTTCGGTTTCCGATGACAAAGGCGAGACAAAATGAAACAGTGCGAGTTATTCGTACGATCGCACGAGATCGATCGTTGAAACAATGATTTCGCGTATACTTGAACGTATTGGAATATGACATGAGGTATACATATATGCAAACGTAAGATACACACGTACCTATACACATACATCTGTTTGACATAGTGCACGGCAAGATATATCTAATTCGCATATTTATGAAGTCACTTCTGTCCGCTTTGCATACATGTGCGGAATACATTGCTATCTTTGCGCATCGTATTCTTTATGCAATAATAAAAAATATATTGTACATTTGTATAAGGTCTTTAGATTGAAATCGTTGTAATTGTCGACAGCAAAGGTTGTATCAAAAGACACGTGAAGTTTTCTTATGGAGTCCACGTGAATTTTAATGCGCTTACGTGTATTACGGCGGCCAATAGATCTTGCGACATTATACTCCCTTTGTTCTCTGATTAAATCACGTCTCAACATTCGGAGTTTGTTTGATGTTGCGCTTGCGTTATCCCGTTCTCAAAAACAACGTGTCGGATTTCCATATAAATACGGTCTCGCGAGTGCGGCTACGCTACGGCGGAACAACTCAACATTGTTGCACAAATAAACGCATAAATTAAACTTTTTGTTCCAATGCGCACAATCCTTGCAAACAGCGTCAGTTGACAATATTTGTCGCTCCTGAAATTTTACATATGGTTTATGTGAATGAAATAACGATGTCACATTAGGAAATTAGACGTTAAAGTTTTCCAAAGTTTTATTATGCACGCGATGCAGGTATATGGAGGGATTTTCTGATATCATCCATAATGAGATTGTGATATTAATAGATCGATAGTTATATTGACAGTGGCCGACATAATGGCAAAGTAATTTTATATAATTTTAAGTGGCCATAGAATATAATTTGTATAATTATGTTATCAGTTTATGATGTTAATAGTTAGTATGTCAACCTCTACGCGCATCACATGTCGAGTATCTCATAAAGCGATCAATAACGCAATATATTGTGTTTACATTTTTATTCCATTTTATATTTATTCCATTCATATTAGAATACGTTTTATATTTGTAAAACATTGTGCTATTGTATCATGTTTATTATGTGTGTTTATCACGGTGAATATTAGATAGTAAGTACACGTGTCGATGACACGTGAATTACAAGAAAAGAAAAACGCTTGTTGTGTTTGTTTTCGGCATTTCGCGGCTGATCGGCGCGCGATTCCGTGCGACACGCTGATTTTATTCGCTCTCAGGCGCGGCGATACGTGCGAAATCGCTTGTGATTTTTCACGCGTACTGATTCATAGATAAACAGAATGTAAGGGGTATTTTCGTACAGCACAGCTGGCGCCTGGAGCAAGGACCAGTATATTTACACGTGTAATCGTTCTTTGATTTATGGGGGACAGAGAGAGAGAGAGAGAGAGAGAGAGAGAGAGAGAGAGAGAGAGAGAGAGAGAGAGAGAGAGAGAGAGAGAGAGAGAGAGAGAGAGAGAGAGAGAGAGAGAGAGAGAGAGAGAGAGAG